ATGATATTATGCTAGTAACATGTTTGATGAAAATGCCTATTGACTCTGTTGTTCCTTCTGTGCCAGACACTGGAAACCATGCTGGCTGCAGTGAAGAAAGGCAAAAAAATCAATGAGGAAGAAATGCCACCTCCTGTTGCAACAGGAAAGAGTTCTTCCAACGTACCTCAAGCCATGGGAGTGGAGCTGGAGAATTCAGGAGATTCACCAGAGAATAAAGCTGAGTCTGCTGCAGATGACGAGCAGAAGGCTTCTCCTGAGGCAAGGGAGCATTTGGAAACAGAGTCTCTACAAGGTCGTGCTGCTGCTGATCCTGCTGTGGAAACAGGTACTGTGATCTGAGAGGAGAAGCAGTTGCAACCCTGTTTTAATGCTGCATCTTCCCTGAGGTTTGTGTTGTGTATAGCAAAGCACTGCTTATGTTGGAACTTCCCTGCTAAAGGTCTCAGAGCTGTCTGTGGAATGCTGAGTTTCTGGCAGTGGAATCAGTTACTGTGTTAGAGCTCTTCTGTGCACTGGATCAGTGCCTCAGTTTCTCCTTCATTGTTTGACATATGGAATTCCAGCCTTTAAAGAGTTTTGAGATACTAACTTAAAGACCTAAAATTTTTTCTTTAAATTGGGAAGATTTGGAAGAAAATTGGAATTATTATGTTAGATAGGACTTCTGGAGACTGGAGGAGAAAGGATATTTGTGACTGATGTGACTTAGAGCAAAAGGGAACAAATGTGGGTTTGCATAGATGGATGTAGCTAGGGATGCAAATCTTGCATGCTCTGTGTCAGTCTCAGCATTGTCTCATTCTCCCAGATCCCCAGCACAGCAGCACACGAGCAATCCTACTTAAGAGGCAGAAGGAGTATAAATTAGCAGCTCTAAAAGCCAAGCAGCAAGGGGACCTGGAGAAAGCAAAGGAGTACATGAAGACAGGCAAGGTATGCACTCAAGAAATCCCAGATGCTGAACATACCCTGTTCTGTACATTAAATGTCACATACTTACTGTGGCAGCTGGCAGGTCTTGAACAGAGCAGAATAAACCTTTTTTTTTTTCCATGTTAGAAATTCAATGTGGTGTTGGAAGCTTTGGACAGTGGGCAGCCAATAGACCTCCAGAATATGCCTCCATCTCCTCAGGGTAAGGCTTGTAGTCAGGAAACTCTTCAGAAGTCTCTCTATGATGTAATGGAATGATTCTGCATTTGATTGCAAAGCTATTAAAAGAACTGGAGATTGTTTAGGACTGAGGCTCACTGCATGTTGACAGTCTAATCAACACCAATGAAGAGAAATGAGGTATCATTACTTATATTGCATTTACTTTCTGTGAATTACAAGTTCAAACAAGTATTGATGATATTCCTGGTTTTTTAAGTGTAGATAATAGCCAATATTTGAAGTGGAAGGGAAAGAAGGATAATGGCACATTCTTAAAATTTGCTGTAGTATT